TAAGCTAGGTGACTGCCTGTAATCCCAGAAGGCAAAGATCAGAAGGATCATGGTTTGAGGCCAGCCCAGACAAGTTTTCAATCAATTAAAAAGCCTGGTGTGGGCTGGGGGTGTGGCTTAAGTAGTAGGAAGCCTGCCTAGCAACTGCAAGGCCAAACCCCAATATTTAAAAAAAAAAAAAAAACAACTTTGACATGGTGGTGTATTCCTGTCATCCCACTTGCTTTGCTCAAGTTCCAAAGGAAACTCCTTATGGCTCTACTGCCTGGGAATCACACCCCAAAGCAGATGTCTGGGAACTGAGCATGTCTACCGACAGTTCTGGAACAGCATTCCAAAGACATGCCCCCTCTGCCGGGGCAGAAATGAAGACTCTATTTTATGGGCAGAGTAAATGAAACCCAGAGGGGCAAGGTGGCTGCCAAGGGCATAGGGAAATGGGTTGAGTGAGGATTAGGAAACAGATGCCCCTGGCTAATTCTGCTGACCACATTTTGTGTAGCATTCAGAACTCTGCTGTTCAGAGGCTCTGCAGGAAGGGCCTATATCCAAAGCATATCCTAGGGTATGCTTCCAGCCCACCTCTCCCAGTTCTCCGCTCCCATGGATGAACCTAGAACTCTCTTCCTGCCTTGACAGCACCCATTATGCTCCCAGCTATGGCCCCTGGAGACTGGCAAAGCAGAAACTGGGAGATCCCTGGAGTCAGTGAGATCATACATCTTGCTATGGGGTGAATGCTTTCAAAGACCTGTTAGGATAAACAGAATCTAGTAAAACTCAGACTGATTTATTTATTTATTTATTTGTTTTGGAGATAGGCTCTCACTATTTAGCTGGACTCTTTCTCCTTATCTTCCTAAAGGCCCTGCTGGGAATGCTTTTGGAAAAGCAGTAAGGTTGAACCTGCGTAAATCCTGGCTCTCACATTCTTTAGCTTGGTAGCGTTGTACAAATCAGTGAAACTCTCTGAGCCCCCTTCCTCATAGGCAACAGAAAATGGACAGCCAGTGCTGTACTGGCTGTGGTAGGAGCTTAGTGGAGTTCATATCTAAGAGCCAGGCCTGCCACTTAGGTGATTTGACTGTGTCCCTATTCTCTGTGTGTCTCACTTTTCTCAGCTGAGCAAAGCAGGGATTTGATGAGATGGTCCCTGAAGTCCCTTTAGTTGAGATAGTTTTGCTTTGACTCATGCGGAACCTTAGGCACTGGGAAACGCCCTGGGGGTGCAGTCTAGTAGTCCTCACTTTCCCTATCCCACCCAGAGGGTGGCCAGTGCCTGTCTGTCATCCCCTTGGGCACAGGGGCCCATATGATGTCCACCAGGTCCCTTACACCTCAAGGTTCTCATATAATCTGGATGTGGATCTAAAACTCCAAAGTGAGATAAGTGAAGACACAGGAGGGAAGCGATTTAGCAAGATAAAAATTTTCAGTCTCACTGCAATCCCTCTTCTGTACTACTCAGAATGTTTTGTTTTTGTTTTTTTTTCTCTCTAGCACACTTGCTGTGGGAGAAATTCCAGCTCTTCTTGGGGAGAAAGTGTAAGCATTCTTTCTCTCCAAGTCATGAGACTTCTTGTTCGGAATTTCGGGTTGTCTCATGGTAGCAAATTATTTTCCGTAACAACGGAAACTCTGTTTCTGTAAGTGTTTCATGAGGCTTGGGATGTGCTCAGCATTCTGCCCGTGAGTCAGAGCCGATAGCAGGGCTTGGAGCAGGACCAGGGGCGAATAATCCTGTCCTTTCAGCTTTTCTGATGACTGAGGCAGGCAGGATGTGGGTCTGCAACTCAGCCATGACTGCACTCACAACCACTTCCATAAACCAAGGGGTCTTCCCTCCTGAGCCTCTCTGCTCACTCCCGGCCTCATAGCAAGTGATGTCAGCAGCTTTTGTTTATCTCTGATTTTATCACCACTGTTCACAGAGTTTCTCATTCAAATTATTTTCTCATAGTTCAAAGGTTTTTGAAGTGCAGACTAATAGAAGTATCAAAGTAAGTCCATTTCCTTAACTTGGGGAAAATCTTCAGCCATCCTTTGCGTTATCTTCTTGAGAAAAGAGGACCAGGCTGAGTTATTACTGATATTTTTTCTAATTCAGTTGTTTGCTGAACAGAAAAGGAGTAAGATCAGGAAAGATGAGAACAGATGGGAAGAGTCCAGGAGATAAATTCTTCAGTTTCTGTGGGATTCTGTTTCTGGATGGTATAAGAGATGTCTGGACTGGCAGAAGGAACAAGGGACAAGGGAACAAGCAGCTAATGGGAACGACTTTACCTTGATAGAGGCTCCAGCAAATCGAGCCAGCTGTTTGATGTGTGCCCCTTTCTTCCCAATGATGGCACCCACAGCCTGGGTTGGTATGAAAAGATTCACAATCTCCTGCTCTGGATACTGGAACATCAAAATAAGACATTAAATCATTCCAACCGGACACTCCTGGAGCCCTTAACAGTTACCAAGTATTCACTATGAGTTCTAAGGTGGGAAGGCCCACTACCCTAGGAAATGGCCAAAATGGCACTTGGGATCCTTCTGTGGCCTAAAGCTCTATAGGTGTGAAAAGCCTGGGGAATGCAGGTGAACTCAAGCAGAACTGTATGACAATCAAAGCATAAACTCCTTTTGAACATCAGAAGTTCAGTGGATACAGAGAGCTGTCTGTTCACAGATTTCCCAAAATACACGAATCTGATCGGTATTTCTCCTGTATTTTCACTCAAGATATTAAACACATCTGGCCTGAGGACAGGGCCCTGAGGCACTCTGCTGGAGGAAATAAGGATAGTTGCCTGGCCCATTGTGTGAAGCCATATTTTCACAAGGTAACTAAACTCTGACCAGGCTACAGGGTGGCTGCCCAGGGAAATGGGCAAAACCATCTGTCCTGGGACTCTGTGAAGAAAGAAAGGGCTATTGGCAAGGCTGCCAGGGGTTCTTGCCATAGGCCATCTATGGGAATGATGTGACCCCATTTGTTCAAAGATCCCTGAAAACTCTTCATAGTCCAGCAATAGCTCATTGTTGGCCTCTTAATGGCTCGCTGGCCAGTGAGGTGTGGAGGTACTGGCAGGAGTGAGGAGGCTCCAGTGCACTGTGTGTGGGGTCATTTTGTGCTTATGCTCTGAGATGTGTCACTCCCAGGGCAGCCCATGAGCAGGAGTGGTGGTGGCTGGGGCATAAATGAAGGGGCACTTACGGCATGATGATGCGGGAAGGGACCGAACTGGTGATGGGGATATAGGCTGGAAAAGTAGCCGGAGTGGGTCTGTAGCAGGAAGGAAAGTCATTTGGTGAGTGGATGTGCCCAGAGACAGTCACCCTCCTCCAAAAGGCAAGATTTCTCCCATGCACCACAGGCTCTCTGCATTGCCAGCCAACCCCACTGTCATGTCTACACACCTGTCCCTTTGTGTCACTGATCTCTACTCTTCAACCCTTGCCCCCACAGGACCACTGAATGCTTGGTAAGGTGTCGCCTCATCACAGTGGCCCCCTGGGTTGGATGTTTATTACTTCTAGGCTAAGCCTTGATTTAGGTTCCCTGAGAACTCATCATGGGAGTGATTGCTTGGACACACTCACTCACACACTCACTGTTTTGACCTGCCTCTGAGTAGAGACAGGGTCAGTGGCTTCTATTTTCTGGGGAATTATGAGTCGTGGATTACAAGGAACAGACAGTACTGGGATAATATCCAAGAGCTACTCAGAACAAGCAAATGTGCTCCTGGGAAGACAGGCGAATTAGCTGTATCAGAGATTTTAAGAAGGATGGAGACTGAAAGTGGAGAAATTCAAAGAGCCATTGAGAAAAAGAGAGAAAGAAAAATGGACAAATAAATATAATATTGTGAACATCAGGAGAGGGAAGCAGGGAACAGGAGAGCAGATGTGGACAGAAGAAAGTAGAACTATTAGGAAAAGCAAATTATTAAAAAGTAGCTGATTTTTAAATTGAGTACTATTATGTACTATGATAGATATCTTATACCTATAAACTCTTTTAATCTTCATAATGGTCCTGCAAGATAGGCATGTGCTTTGATTTTATATATTCTTATGGGCTGGATATTGACAATAGTCAGAAAAATCTATTTAACTATGTTTTACATGAAGCCAAGCAAATCCTGATATTAATACTACAGGAAAGGAGGTTACTGGCTCTGGGCACCATAGCACATTGCCACATTGACAGCCCTCCATGAAGATGGTTCCAACAGTGAGTGTCAGACATGGATGATGCTTGGAGTTAGGGGACCTGCTTTCATTTGAGAGCCTCTGAATAAATCTTATGATAATGTGTTTGTCCTGTGTCTCCTGAGTCTCAAGCTGGACTCAGTTCCTCATTACAATTTCACCTTATAACTCCGTAGGGTCAAAATGCAACAACTGTGCCTCTTTTTTGAGCTCAGAGAATGCAGAAATGAGAGCATCACAAAGTGCTAGTCAGCAGCCTCACCTGGGGCATCATCATTCAAGCCTTGCTTTGACTGGGAGGCTGCAGTGGTGCTGCATGCCCACAAGAGGGTGCTACAAGATCACTGGTCTCAGAGCATCCTTGCCTCCTATTTGAGAACTACTTGGGAAATGCATCAGCTCCAGACCCTGTCTTCTCTCTGTAGCAACCTGCCCTGGGCAATGGAGGGCAGCTGTTCTGCTCAAAGCTTTATCCAGGGGAATGAGCACTTCTGCCCTCTTTTCACCAGGATCACCATTCCTTCAGCTCTCATAGCAGAAATGATTACTTTAAACTGTATTTTGCCTTTTCCTTCCAAAACTCACATGAAGCCAAGAACAGACAAGCCACAGAATGGCTCCTAGTCTGGGTTCTAATACTCCTACCATAAACACTAGCAAATCAGACCTACCACTTGGGGTAAGGAGAGAGTTTTAAAAATAAGCTGTAAGGAGTGAATAGAGGGGATGAGTAAGATTAAAGTACATTATATGCATCTATGGAAATATCCCTCGCTCTGTAAAATTAATAAATGCCAATAATAATTTTTAAAAAGTTAAGAAGGACAATTCCCACGTCCCCTCACTTTTGTTTTTTAATTCATGAGTCACAACTATAAGATTGTCATAAGGAAAAACTCCTGAACTCAGCAATGGGGAGCTCATTTTAAGCTGAGGCTCTAACATCAGCCTTGGTGAATGTAAGTCAGATTTTGGAGCCAGAACACCTCAGTCTGAATCATTAGCACTACCAGTTGGAATGATTATTTAAACCTGTCTGAATCTCATCCACAAATGGACTGAAATAATATCTAGACCTTATAGTATTGTGAGGGCTCATTCAGTTGCTTATTTATTCATTCAAAGCTATGTGAGCATCAACTGTGCTGGAGACACTGTTCAGGTAGAATGCAGACAGTTATCTTTTGCAGATGCAAAAGATATCTTCAGAGAAGTACTGTGAGAGAGATAAAAAGGAAGGAGGGCCTTAGGCGAGGAGCTGAGGGGCAGAGTGGAATTTTGGCTAGAATAGTCTGGGACAGCTTAGAGTTGAGAGCTGCTGAGGAGGCAGAGCCCATGCAAGGTCCTGGGTAAGAACATGCTAAGCAGGGTTCTTAGAGGTCTAGAGCCAGAGAAGAGGGTTGCCTGTCTGAAAATAAGAGGGAGGTCAGTATGGTGAAGGCAAATGGAGGTCAGCAGGATGCAAGGTCGTATAGGGCCTCCTGACCTGGTTTGGACATGGATTGATCCAAAGTGTAATGGATGCTCTGAAAGGTGTTATGTGCTATTCAAAGAGGCCAGAGGAATGAGAATATCATCAGGCATTACAGGGGCTGCATTAGTGAGTGTAAATGAGTATTTATAATGAAGTGTATGCCTTAGCAGAGCCTACTTTCTATTTCCCACCTTCCCAAGCATACAGTCTGCAGCTTCAAATAGAAGGGGCTTTCAAGACATCTTCCTTATGATGAGAAAAATCCAACCTATCAGTGACCTGGAGAAAGCAGGTTGCAACCATCTGATATGTGGTCCAAGGTCCTATGGGATGGGAGTCAGCAGAGAACCCTGCCCCAGTGTGGCAGTTGGATTCAGTGCCTCCATCACTGTGTGAGTGGAGAAGTGACTATTTTTGAAGGTGCGAAAAGCCTTATGACAATGGGAGAGGGGAAAGGCAGTGAAGGCGCCTGGCCTGGCACACCCTACCCTGTCAACCAAGAGCCAGTGGGAGGGGTGGTTATTGTTCACAGGATGATTTCATATTCTCAGTTTGAGGGACTGTGGTGCTTGCTTTTCCTCTGAGTTTGACTCTACTGGGGAATGGGCATAGGAGCATACGTTGTCTTGGAGCATACATCAAACATTTGAGAAAATTCAACAGAACCACCAGCAGGGCATGATACTGAAGGTCAGAAACCCATGAAGGAAAACATTACTGATCTAACCAGCTTAATTCTTAAAATTTCTGCATGACTTCTGTTGGAGGGAAATCTCTGAATACTTTAAGTGCATACATCCTTTGATGCTGTAATTCCAGTCTTAGGAGACTTTTCTTTCAGATATGATTACATTTGTATACAGACTTATAAGAATATTTGTTTTGATACTTCTTTAATTATGGAAATCTGGAATCAACTCAAATGTCTAAAGATACTGTGCTGGTGAGAAAAATTATGTAAATTCATACAATGGAATATGATGTAGCCATTAAAGAAAATTAGCCTTCACTATAGAAGGATGCCTATAATAAGTAAAACAACAACAAAAAACCCATCACAACAACTTGTAATTCACTGTGCATGGCATGAGTCTATATGCATCTTTGAATAATGTGACTACAGGTATGCTGAGAAAACATTTTTTAAATGTGTAAATGTAAGAGTGCCATACTTAAACGGAGTGTATGTTGGATAAATTTGAGTACAAGAGGGAAGGCCAAAGGGACACTTAGATTTTACTTTATGGAACAGTTTACTTGTTCACAACATATATTTGAAGTTATATGGCACAAGGTATCATACGTTAACCAAAAAGAAATGACAACCTGGTAGAAAATATTTACAACACAACAAGTGGTTAAGAGCCTTAATATGAAATGAACTGTCATAAGTCATTAAGGTAAAAAAAGAGCATGACAGTAGTGGCTAAGATTTATATATAGCACGTAAGTTACTACATGCAGACTTTATTTAATGAACCTCACAACAACCCTGTGATGGAGGTGTTATCTTCTCTCTTTGACATTGAGACTCAAAGGGGTTGATTCACTCGCCCAGGGATAAAAACAGCAAGTGACAGTGCAGAAACTCAGATGCAGGCAGTCTGGCTTCAGAACCAAAGCTATTTTGCTTCTCAATACACTAATGGGCAAGAAATACTGAAAGTCAATTATCAAAGAGGAGAAAAATTGCCAATACACACAAAATTGTTTGGTCTCCTCATAATGACACAACTGTGTATTTTAAAATAACAGACTACAAAGAATAATTTATTGGCAGCAAGGATACGGAAGGAAAAAACCCTACTCTGTCATACATTAGTGGTAGAAATAAAAAGTGGTACATTCTAAATTTATATACCTGTATCAACACATAAAATATATACTCTTTGACCCAGCAGTTGTTTCTAGGAACTTATTCTGAGAAAGTAATTGGAGAAGAGAGCCAAAGTGTGCTGGGCCTGACAGTGCACATCTGCAATTCCAGCTACTCAAGAGGCAGAGGCAGGAGGATGAGTTCAAGGCCAGCCTGGATAAAGTTAGCAAGAGCCTATCTCAAAAACAAACAAACAAACAAAAGGGCTGGGGGCTTAGCTCAAGTGCATAGCAAGCATGAGGTCCTGAGTTCAATACTTAGTACTGTTAAAAACAAAAGGACTAGAGGTGTGGCTCAAGCAGTAGAGCGCCGACCTTGCAAGTGCTAAGCCTTGAGTTCAAACCCCAGTCCCACCAAAAAAAAAAAAAAAAAAAAAAGAAGCATTTTATATATACAGGGATTTCCATCATAAAGCAAAAATATTAATACTATATATAAATATGTTAAGTATTTTCACATTATACATGCACAGATATAAATGGAAACACTGGTTATCACTAGACTAAAAAACACTTTCTACATTTTTTTACTGTATATATAATTTTTATATTATTTGCTTCTTAAACATGATGCATGTTACTTTTATAAGCAAAACAAGAAAAAAATGATAAAGTTTCATACATACACATATATCTGAAAAATTCCAGGATTTAAGAGACCAACCGGTGTGTATGAGCCAGCTATAAGGAGGTGCACAGACTTCCTTGACCTTTGAATGTTAAAAATACAAGAACTAGAGCTTTTTGCTAATTAGTTATTTATTTTGGTGATATGGTTTGAACTCAGGCCCTCATACTTGCTAGGCCGCACCTCCAGCCCAAGTTTTGTGCTCTATACAAGCAACCAAGAAGTACCCTAGTTTCTTGAAATCTGAATGCCTGTGTGACAGGGATATTAGTATCCCTACAACCCACCCTACCCTGTCCTTCTCAGGAGGCCAGATCCACAGGGAAGCCCACAGCCTGCACTGTGGACTCCCCAGGTGTGGCTCTCCCACAGGTGCCTCTACACCTCAGCTCCGCACTTCTGCAGCTGTACCAGTCTCTGCAGAGACTCTGTCTCAGAGTGTGGTCAACTGCACGTTTAGAATCAACTCTAATTTTGATCCACCGAATCAAGATCAGAATAACATGGCTTTTAGTTTAAAAAGGAAATCTTTTTTTTTTTTTTTTTTTAATGATGAGGTCTAGCTATGCTGCCCATGTTGGTCTCGAACATACGGGCTCAGGAAATTCTCCCACCTCAGCTTCCACAGTAGCTGGGAGTGCAGGCATGCAACACCAAGCCTGGGCGGAAATCTTATTTAAAACTTATTTTTAAAGACCAGAAACTAATTATCTTAGTAAGATGGTTAATCTATTTTGGTGAATATTCCAGATGTAAAGGAAGCTTTCTGACTGGAAAAACCCATTTCCAAATTTAGAAAACATTGTACCACATGAAAATCTCTCATTTTAGTCCAGAGGTCAGCAAATACTTTCTGTAAAGGACCGAATAATAACTATTTTAGGCTTTGAAGGTCCTATGATCATAACTATTCAACTTTGCTATTCTAGTGGGAAACACTAACAACAATATGTAAATAAATGATCATTGCTGTGTCCCAATAAAACATCATTAACAAAATAAATGGTGGGCTAGATTTGGCCCTGAAGCTCTGGAATGCTGATCCCTATTTTAATTTTTAATTAATTAATTTAATTTTTTGTGGTACTGGGGATCAAATCCAAGGCCACTGAGCCCCACCCTCCCACACACCCAGGCTCCCATTTATGAACTTAGGTTGTGCAGGTGGCCTGGCTTTTGAGGTTACCTTTCCCTGAGACTCTGTGTACAGCCTGTTTTCTGGAAAGTTAGATGTATACTTTGATCACCTTTAGTAGTACCTGGGAAAAACTACTCTTTTACGAAAGAAGAGGTGAGACAGATTGATTGAGAAAAATCAGAGGCTTTTGAAAGAACTGTCAAGACAAGCTGAGAAACCAGGAAGCAAAAGTGTTCCCGGAAGATCACTTGGTCACCCCCTACCTAAGTTATATCATAGAGCTCTCAACAGAGAGAACAAAGGATTGAAAAGGAAAATTTGACCTTATTGAAAAGGCTGAAACTGTGAAGCCAACAGTCAGTATGAAGCATCCAGCTGATCCATCCAGCTGATGGATTACCATTGCGATACAGGTTATCTCAATCCAGTGCCTTCCTCAAGATGAATGAGATCCACCCTTAGGCATTATAGCCAACTAAGAGGAGCTTCCAGGACATCTAGTGCTACCAGTGGTCTCAGCTGTAAAACTGAACAGTTTGTGACATATCCAGTGGCCTGCTGATAAGATCTAAAACTCCCTTACATTTGCACTGCTTAGCTACAAAACCTTTTTTTTTAAACTTTATACATTGTTCATCCAAGTTTTATTGATGTGCTCTTGTATATTGCTATAATTCTCTGTGTAACATTTGTAATAATTTTTAGCAATTTATATAACAGTTGTAATTTATTATTATTACTCAGTGCAAAATTATTGTCAAAAAGACAATTTAATGTAAAAATCAGTGTTTCCTATGATGATGTATTTATATGAGATAGATGAGTATTTAATAGAGAAATGGGGGCTGGCAGAGTAGCTCAAGTGGTACGAGTGCCTGCCTAGCAAGCATGAGACCCTGAGTTCAAACCCCAGTGCTGACAAAAAAAGAAAAAAAATCTAGGAATGGTAGTATGCATGTATGTTTTCTCATGATAGAAACTGATTCAAATGTCATGCTGGTAAAGAAACATACACACAAATGAGATGTGTCTCAGTGTCTTTTAACTGTACTGAGCTGGTCATTTTTACAGCAAAGGTACAACAAAGGTGCAGAGATGTGCACTTCTCACAGCTGTCCTTAAAGCAGCCACATGACTGTAACAACCCCCATGACCCCTCACAGCACATTTTCAGGACCTTCTATCACACATACACACAAGGTTCAATGTTGGGCTCCCTCCTTTGGTTTAATGCAAAATGGATATAACTAAAGAAATGGTACGGAGTGATACAGAAATGTCTCAGAAGAACTGTCTATGAGCGACAGACAATCGCAATACTAGCGATAGACAATGGCAATATTAGCCAGGTGCTGGTGGCTCATGCTTGTAATTCTAGCTACTCAGGAGGCAGAGATCAGGAGGATCACAGTCTGAAGCCAGCCCAGGCGAATAGTCTGAGAGACCCTATCTCAAAAAACCCATCACAAAAAAAGGGCTGGTGGAGTGGCTCAGGTGTAGGCCCTGAGTTCAAACTCCAGCACTGCAAAAAAAAAAAAAAAAAGCAGTATTTATACAGAAGAATTAGGAACCAGAAAGACAGCTAACAAGTGTCCTCAGCCCAATTTGGCTATGTAGTAAACAAGAATAATGCTTGTGAATAAGCGCAACAAGTGGAAAATATACCATTCACATTTTTTTTGTTGTGAATTATGATTCAAGCAGTAAGTACTTACTGACAACCTACTAAATACCAGGCACTGTACTGCTTAGATACACTGTGCAATTTCTTCATTAATAAAATATAATGCATTTGAATTGTAGACATATGTGGAAATTACACACACACATATATATCTGTGTACATATGTATATACTCTAAAGTACCTGAATATAGTAATGACTAATACTAATGAATGCTCTTATTTGAGCTAACAAATCTTTTTTTTAAAAAAACAAGTTTTCTAGTTAATGAATTTGCTAGTATTCTTTCTAGATATGACCCATACTAGGTTTTAAAACATGGTTTGATATCAATTTGCCCACTAGGAAGGAATTCTAAGAAACTATGCTATAACACTCATGAGAATGGTCTCCAGATATAAACTTTAGCCCTGACTCAACACAGCAGAGAAATGCTGCTGACTGGAGCTGTCCAGAGCAGGAGCAACCATCTGAGTCCTGAGCTACTTACAGCAAAAGGGTGGTAGGGGGTAGCAGGTGGGGCTCCACGGGGCCCAGCTGGCGGAGGCAGCACGGACAGTCCTGTTGAAAAGATGCCAAGTGCACTGAGGTTCAACCCTGGGATCAGATTGGCTTGTTGCTGGGAACAGAAATGGAGAAAAAAGATGAGGGAGGAGACCAGAGAGGCCCAGCTTGCCTGGGTCAACCTCCATCTCTTGTCTGGATGGCACCAGCATCTCCCAATCAACTCTATCCTCGCCTGTGGACTTCTTTACCTTGTAATGGGGGTGGATACCAAACCTCAACCTGACCATGGCATTCCTTTAAAGTTTTTCCAACACCTTTGGGAATGTACATATATTACCATAGCCAATAAAGTCTTCCTGGAGACCCAGGCCACCTTGTTAGCCTGTTTCCTGCTAAGTCCTCATTCCCACTCCTTTCAATCCTGCTCCTTAAATACCCCAAGCTCACCTCTGGGCCCCTACACACGTTGTCTTCCCTGCAAGGAAGCGCTTCTCTCCCTCTTTACCTAGCTAAGTCCTCTTCTCCTTTGGAATTCCCCTACCTTAGGTATCACCTCATGCCTGAAGCTTTCTCTCACCCCCAGAAGTCTTAGCTCAAATGCCCTCTCTTGTCTCTCCTAACATTCATGTACTCCTTTAAGACAGCACTTGCCAGATGGTGCTAGTATCACCTTAGGTACCTCTTCCACTTTTAGGCCAACACTTCCTTGAGAATAGAGAATATTTTACTTAGTATTTGTGTTCAATGCCTGGTAAATAGTAAGTACTCAATAAATGTTTGTTTAATGAATATGTCTTTTTAACTCTATTCGGGATGGGTCAGACCCTTTACCAGGAACTACACAGATTAATTCCAATGTCCAAGTTTAAGATGTTTCTCTTTTGTCTTTTCATCATTTAGTTGCCAGCTTCATAATCATTTCACTTGCTTATTTCACATTTAAATCTGGGGACACTCACCATGGCTAGAGGTGAGTTTTATCTACACAGCCCTTCAGAGGCAAAGGAATGTATCACCTATCTTGGCCTGTACCCAACCTGCCCCCTTTCTTGTCTTCCTGAACATAAAGCAGTTTTCTAACATCTGTTTACTTCTCTGTGGTTACAGTTACCCTGTATTCTTTTAGAATACAGAGCAGTAGAACTGGGACCCTTCATCTTTACCTCATTTGATATATAAGACCTGGTAATTTGGTGATTCCTCTCTCAGAGTGTGGCTTTGGTACAGATATGAATGCATCTCAGTGACATGCTCAAGTGATGCTCAAGTGATTATGTTTGGAGAACCCAGACCCTTTTGAGCATTTCCATGTTTTCACAAAAAGAGATGCTGATCAAAAGACATCAAGAACCCGCAAGAAGAAAATGAGGTTGTTGGATGATAGTTTCACAGATATATGCAAACAGGGAGAAGGCTGCACTGTGGTCCCCTCCTCTGCCTCCTTATTCTGTCCCATAATCATCATGTGGAGGGGGCTGCTCACCTGGGGCTTGGCATGAGGTGGGGGAGAGAGTGCTGACCTGAGATAAAGACACTGTGGAAAGTGCTGCAGTGAGGGAGCTGGGGTTCAGCCTGCAGAGCTCTTTGTCAACATTGCTTCAATGTTACCCAACAGGGTTGGGAAATGGATGAGGGTTCAGATGAAACAAAACAGGCCATGAATTGGTAACTACTGAGGCTGAATTTTGGGCATATGAGGTGGTCTTATCAGAACATCCTTTCCACCACTGCGTATATTACAAATTATAATAGAAATGAATGAAAACCTTTACTTCTTCAAGCTTGTGCTTTGCTGACAGACAAATCCCAGACTTTTGTCACCCTATTATAAAGTGGAAACTAGGTGACACTAATAGGAAGGACAAAGCTACATCAGTCTGTTAGTGAGAGCTAAGTGGATGACATTTACTGGGCAATCTGAAAGTGCAGATCAACAAGCAAGAGATGAAAATCAGAAGTTAATTTTTTTTTTTTTTTTTGGTGGTGGTACTGGGGTTTGAACTCAGGGCCTTCATCTTGAGTCACTCCATCAGCCTTTTTTTTTTTTGGTGATAGTTTTTTTGAGATAGGGTCTCACAAACTATTTATCCAGGCTGGCTTTGAACTGCAATCCTCCTGAGTAGCTAGGATTACAGGCGTGAGCCACTGGCACCAGCAATTATTTATTTTTTTAAGAGACGTGTTTTCACTATGTTGGTCAGGTTGGTCTTGAACTTCTGGATTCAAGAAATCTTTGGTCTCAGCCTCCCAAGTGGCTGGGATTAAAGGCCTATACCTGGCGATTTTATTTTATTTATTTTGATGCTGAAGACTTGGGATTGAACCCAGCCAGGGTCTCACATATTTAAACATAAACTCTGCCACTGAGCTACACCTCTAGCCCAGGTAATTTTAAAGTATATCTTTTAAAAATTTTAAGAGTAACAAGACATATTACAGAAAGTTTAGAAAGTATTAAAAAAAAAAACCCTCCACTTTCTAACATGCCTGTTTTCACTTTTATTTGTAGTCTTCTACTCATTTTGATCCATATTACTTCACATAATTGGAACACTAGCTTTATATATATCATAAGCATTTCCGCATATTACAGTTTCAAAGACATGATCTTAATGGCTTCACACTATTTTGTCCAGTTTTGTGTTTTATCATGATTTACTAATTGGTTTCCTGACTGTTTTAATGCTTTTACCCTAAAAACTGCAGACCTATCTTCAGGCATCTCCCTCATAAATTGAATGAGAGTTATTCTTACAGCGGCTTATATCCTGCCTGAAAGCACGTGGGAAAGCCAGTGGAGAAGGAAGCATGAGGCACTTACATTAACCGCCAGCAAGTCATTTTCAAAGGCCTCACGTAGCTTCTTCATAATCTCTATCTCAGCATTAGCACAGGCTTCCACTGTGCCCTTCACCGTGATGGTTCTCTCAGGGTTGTATATGCTCAAATCCTGCAAACTGGCCAATGGAAAAAAACAGAGAAACTTCCTTTTCTCGACAGGAAAAATAAATTTCCATATCAGAAACAAATCTTGGGAGAAGCAGAAATGACTGGATTCCTTCATAACACATTATGGTGTAGAGTCTCTGCTATCTCGAATCTTACCAGTGACTTAGATCAATCCTTAGTGAAAAGTGTGTGGCTGGGAACTGTTTTCTTTTTCTTTTTTTTCTTCCCAGTTCTGGGGATGGAACCCAGGGCTTCACACGTTAGGCAAGTGCTCTATAACCGATCCACATATCCCCAGCCTTAAGTATTTGTTTTCGATGATGATAGAAATAATCACATCACACCTGATATATATTCCCATTTTAGGGAAAACCAGATAAATGAGTGCAGGGTATAGAAATGCTTAAATTATTCATTATTAGATACAATTAATCTGAATGGGTGGCTTACGATGAGATTGTTATCTTGGTCCCTGTCTCGTGTTCAATTTTCTTCAAATTTCTGCCTTCTTTGCCAATCAGTCTTCCAACCAAGCCATTGTGGGCCAAGATTTTCAGAGGAATCTCTTCGGCTCTAAAAGAGACAAAGATTTAACACTTAAAATGGTCACAAAGTTGGTTCTCAAGAGCTATTATGCCGTTTTTTTTTTTTTTTGAATGGAAGCCAATCTGTTCATGTACCAAGGGGCTATGGGCTTTAGGAAAAGCCAGGTTCTGTACCAACTCCAGTTCATGAATTCTGATTAACATAAGCTAAACCACGGTAATTCTACACTCTGATAATAACTGGTTGGCAGTAGGTCCATGAGGCAGATCTGGCCAGTGAGCTATGAATTAAAAATAGAATTGCTGTATGATCTGACAGTCCCTCTTCTGGGTATAAATCCAGAAGAAATGAAGCAGAATTATTTGTGAACTCATTTCATAGCAACACTATTTGCTAACAGTCAAAAAAAAAAAAAGAGGAGGAGCAATGCAAAATATCCATCAGCAAATAAACAGATAAACATGTGTTATATACATACAACAGAATATTATTCAGATTTAAAGGGAAGGAGATCACCCCCATTAGAATAGCCATCATTAGCAACACCACTAACAGGTGTTGGCGAGGATGTGGGGAAAAAGGAACCCTCTTACACTGTTGGTGGGAATGTAAACTAGTACAACCACTCTGGAAAAAAATTTGGAGGCTACTTAAAAAGCTAGACATTGATCTACCATTTGATCCAGCAATACCACTCTTGGGGATATACCCAAAAGAATGTGACACAGGTTACTCCAGAGGCACCTGCACACCCATGTTTATTGCGGCACTATTCACAATAGCCAAGTTATGGAAACAGCCAAGATGCCCCACCACTGACGAATGGATTAAGAAAATGTGGTAGTTATACACAATGGAATTTTATGCAGCCATGAAGAAGAATGAAATTTATCATTCGCAAGTAAATGGATGGAATTGGAGAACATCATTCTGAGTGAGGTTAGCCTGGCCCAAAAGACCAAAAATCATATGTTCTCCCCCACATGCGGACATTAGATCAAGGGCAAACACAAGGGGATTGGACTTTGATCACATGATAAAGCGAGAACACACAAGGAAGGTATGAGGATAGGTAAAACACCCAAAAAACTAGCTAGCATTTGTTGCCCTCAATGCAGAGAAACTAAAGCAGATACTTACTGAGGCCAATAGGAGAAGGGGACCAGGAACTAGAGAAAAGGTTAGTTCGAGAAGAATTAACTTAGAAGGTAATACACATGTACAGGAGGGCAATGTGAGTAAACTCCCTGTATAGCTATCCTTATCTCAACTAGCAAAAACCCTTGTTCCTTCCTATTGTTGCTTATACTCCCTCTTCAACAAAATTAGAGATAAGGGCAAAATAGTTTCTGCTTGGTAGCGAGGGGTTGGGGGGTAATGGAGGGGGTGAGGGTAAGGGGGGGGAAATGACCCAAACATTGTACGTACATATGAATATAATAAAAAAAAAAGAAAAAATAATGAAGGGAAGGAGACCCTGTTACACACTACAACATGGATGAACTTTGAGGATATTATGCTAAGTGAATAAACCAGTCACAAAAAGATAAACACTATATGACTCCACTTATATGAGGTTATCTAAACTAATCAAATTCATAAGAAAAGGAAGAAGAATGGTAGTTTACAAGGGGTGAGGCAAGGGGGAAATGGGTAGTTGTTTAATGAGCACAGAGTTTCAGATTTACAAGATGAGTAAGTTTTGGGTATCTATTTCACAACACTGTGAAGGAATACATCTGATATTAATGAACTGTACACTTTAAAATTATTAAGATGATAAATTTTATATTATGTGTGTTCTGCCACAATTCTTAGAAACATTTTTTAAAAGGTGCAAAGAAGTAATGCTCTCTCTTTTTCAAGTTTGGAATATTTTTCTGTGGAGACACAAGGTCTGAAATCTCAGCAGCCAGCCATCCAATCTATCATCACAAAGGAAATAAGGCAGAAAAATGTCCCAGGCCTTTGAGCCCATGTCTCAAATGACCTTGGAGTTATTCTAACTTAAGACTTCTTAGCATGTGACATAGTAATTCTTTCTTACTACTTAAGACACTTGCGTTTCCTATTACTTAAATTGAAAAGCACCTAACAGGTGCATTGCCTCATATATACCAATACTTTAAAAAGCTCCACGAGAGCCTGGAGCTGGTGGCTCATGCCTATAATCCTAGCTGCTTGGGGAGGTTGAGAACAGAAAGGTCATGATTTGAGGCCAGCCTGGGCAAAAAGTCTGAGATCACCAAGTTCAAAATAACCAGAGCAAAATGGACTGTAGGTGTGGCTCAAATGATAGAATGTCTGTGTTGTAAGCTTGAAGCCCTGAGTTCAAAATCCCAGCTGCATATCCTCCTCACTTTCCAAAAAAAAAAACTCCACTAGGATGTAGCTTTTGGAGGGCAGGGGGTTTAGTGCTTGCTTCCATATACTAGATGCTCAGCAAATATTTGGTAAATTAATTTTAAAAAAGTTTAGGATTCTTGTTCTCTTGCATCTTTTGCCTTCTACTCACTCCCCTCAGGGCTGTCCTCCATACAGAGAGATCATCTCTGAAATGCTCAAGTCTTGCCTTGTCCGCTAAAACCGTGGTTAGGACCTATTACATGTAGTTGTAACGCTACTTCTCCATAGTAGCATTTCTTAGAGCTGCACTCAGTTACTCAGTGCTATAATTATTTGTTTAGTGAACATCTCTCCCACCCGGCAAAGCAAGCCTAGCAAGGCCTGGCTCTTATTCATGTCTGTAGCTTTTTTAACAATCCAGTGCTTCGTACAGTGTAGGCACTTGAAAACATTTGTTTCAAAGGTATTCAAACTCTATCTTGGCTCTATATGAAAACTTAAAAACCCAGTTTACAAATCAGTCTTTTTGACTGTTTATAGACTTTTGTAAGTTGCTTGTACCTAGGTCAAAGTAACAAGAAGTGTATTGTTTATAAATTTTTTTAATAATTTAGATAAAAGTAGGGTTTCTTCAAATTAAGCCCTAGCATGTGGAGGATTTAAAAAGTCCCAAACAGAGCAAACAACTGATAAGTGGAAGATTTATGATATTTCAGTATAAGTTTGCAATGCTCTTCTTTTAAAATCTACTTCCATATGCTTTGTTTTGTACCAGTCATTCCATATTATTTGTCAAATTAATTTAATATTCAATCCATTCTTTACTGCTTCTCTATAAAACTGCTCCTGCTGGTCATAAACAGATTTTTGCAAACTGACAAAGTCTTTTTAAAAACTGTACTGTTTATTTTATTGCCATTCATTATTTATAATACAAAATCAACTGGTTTAGTAAGAACTTTTGTTTGCCATTCAAATTGAAATGATGCTCATCACATTGTGGAATTTCAAGAACTATTTCATAAAAGAAAGGGTGGGGGGAGAAAGAAGAAAAAAGAGGAAGAAGAGTAAAATACCCACTTGGAAACCAGTTTCTACTACTTAAGGAAATGTAATCCAACTGGTGACAACGTACATTCTATAGCTGCATTGTCCAATATGACATGTAGCTATTTAAATCTGGATTAGTTAAAATAAAACAAAACATTCAGTTCTTCATTGCACTAGTCACATTTGAAGCACTCAACAGCAACAAGTGACTAGTGGTTATTTTATTGACAGTGCAGATACAGAATGTTTTCATAATTACAAGTTCTACTGTCCCCTCTACCAAGTAATAGAGCTTTTAACACAGTTCTTACTCTTACTTGGTTGAGTGATGGAACAATGTACACAAACTTACAGTTTGGTCTCATCAGCCTCTTTCTGCATGATTTCAAGAATCATGCGGCATGCTTCAGAAGTCCCCTCTGGGGTGGCATGAATGGTGACAGGCTTCTCTGCAGCCCCAGAGTTCTCTTTTCTATGGATGTCTACCCTGTAGGAAAAAAATCAGGAGCCATAAGTATGTCATCTGTGATAGGACTCTAGTCCCAGGAAACATTATCACAACCAATGTACAGCAAGGACACAGACAGACAAGTGTCATTAGCACGTTTGCAACCAATGCCATTCTCCAAGAAGGAGGCAAGCAGTGTGGGAGTTCTAATGACAAACTTTAATCCTTTGCAGCTCCACTTAGAAAGGGACCGTTCTTACAGGAGTGCTGCAGGACAAAGGTGCCAAGCCAGCTTGATAATGAAGCCAGTTTGGTAAATGGAGTATTTTGTGTAGTCTTTCAAATGACTGTAGAAGTGAAGAGTAAAGTGAGAACATAACACTGCATATTGGCATGGGGCCGATCTCTAAACTGATTGCAGCCTTTAAAAGCCATATGTTAATCCAAATCCAAATACCAAATTCAAGCAAGCTTTATACATTTGAGTGTGGATAGAAAACAGAGGCATGCCCTCTCTCTGCCTAAGTTTTTGGTTTCCATTCCATTGGTAGCCTGCTTTCCTCCAGGCTCTTAAAATTAATGGCTCAAAAGCTTGATGACTTTATCAGACTTCTTTGGTTAGCTGTGGTACTACTTGTTTTTGTTCATTTTCAGAATCACATAATTGATTGTATCCCTTTTTACTTTAGCTATTAGAAATCCTTCTTTGGCCTACTTCTTAAAAACAGGCACATACTTTAAGGGCTAACTTCATTTCAACTTAAATTTGTTGCATTTTTAAAGCCACCTAAACAATTTTTGGAATAAAGAGAGATATAAATAAAAATCACTTTCACAGTACAGCAAACTTGGCTGCACTTTTAAAATAAAAGAAACACCAGGCAGTAATTTCTCTTCTCTATTTCATTATTTCCCTCCTAAGATTCTGTACCCTGGGTTTCATCCATGTTAGTATCTGTACTTGGGTGTCACTCAGACACTCTGAAGAAAATAGCATTTTCTCTTTTGGGTTACAGGGCACTCACTCAATGACCTGAACAAAATTCATTGACACACGTAAGTAATATTTGCTAGTAATCTGCAATTTAAGTGCTTTCATATTAATGGTTTCATTTCATTTGCCTAATTATAGTAATTTTCATAACAATCCTGGCAAAATGTAGTATTCCCTTTTTTATACAAGAAGCAATTGATGCTCAAAGAGGTTAAAAAATTGACCTCAAGATTACATAGCCGTTAAGTGGCTGTAAAACTTGAACATGAGTAACTGTCTACACATCCTGTGTTTTCTTCATTATATCATGCTGTGGTCTTAAAAACATATAAAAATCAACAACTCCACAAGTCATTTTATCCACTGACTCCTTAAACTGAACTAGACACAAGAGAACTAGACACAAGGCTAGTATACTTTCTTACTGCAGAGGGGACTCACCACTTCTATGTGAGACTACCTAAGTAGTCTCAAATGGCTACCCCCGGGGTTCTGAGTTAGGACAGGAGGTGAGAACGGAGATAAGCAGGTTCTAGGATCCCACAGAGCCCCATATCTTGACTGTTTTAGAACTACATGCCTTCACTGCATAGTCATCTTACGGGCAGTGCCTGGCTATGAGATCATTAGTGCTCTCTTTAAGGAACCTTTAGTCTTTCAGGGGTGATGGTTATGTCATTAGTATGAAAGCTCATGACAGACCCCAGCTTGATGTTAGTCTGTTAGTCCTGTTCAAAGAAGCCACTGTCCCATTATAGCACAACCCCTCCCCCTACTGCTGACATAAGCAATAGTCCTGAGGATGGCTGAGATGCCAGGACACATGGGAGCTCTCAGAAGGAAGCAAGGGAAGCCCCAGAAGCACGTACCGGGACTGGGTCTGCTTAGTGATGTTCTTTATGGTCAAGCCCTCCTTTCCGATGATGGCACCAACAAACTGGGTGGGGACCAGGATCCGCAGCGGGAAATCAATCTGTCTGGCCTGAGAAGAGGCCCCAGGGGCGTGGCCTTGCTCCCGGGAAGAGTGGTCCCCACGCTGGGCTCGCTGAGGGGGTGAAGGGGAGCTCACCTCTTCATCCGGGATGTAGGAAATCTTGAAGGAGTAGTTCTCAAACTGATGCCCACTTAGCTTCTCGATGGCTCTGAAATGCAGCAGGGGTGGAGGAGCTTTGTCAGAGAGCAACATCAAGAAAGACTCTTCCACTCTTGTTTACCAGGTGCCCAGGGCCAGGCACTCAGGAAACAGTGGTGACCAAGACTAGCACCAGTTCTGCTCCTTCTGCACTTGTGACTGACAATTAAACAAGCAGTCACAGTGTCTAAAACTGATCAGACTTGATACACAATTTTGCATTCAGCTATTTTCTCACTACCCAAGGCTATATCCCCCTTATCAAAAACTCACTCAACATTGATACAAAATTATCACCTATTTTTTTCTTTTAAACAATAACACACAATCTATGATTATTGTAAATCATAACACAAAAATTTATTTAAACAAATTTATGAAAAAATTCAGAAATAAACACAAAGAAAATCATAATCCTCCATCTCATTTTTTACATATATTGTTTATAAAAATGAATTAAAGTTGTACATACTATTTTCTAACCTTTAAAAAATAGTTAATACCCCTTTGTACATTCAAATATGGTAATAAAAACAGCTAATACTCTAAACATTTTCCCATGTTATTAAATATTTTTAAATATAATTTTGAATGGCTATTTAGCAGTCTGTTGATTTACTACAGTTTTTGCAATCAATCCTCTATTGTTAGATATGTAGATTATGTTCAATCTTTTAATTAATATACACCGTTACCATGGCATCTTTGCAATTACAACTCTACATATAAGACATGCTAGGCAAACGCTTTACCACTGAGTTTCTCACTCCAGCCCTGTAACATTATTCCTAAGTATGGCTGAGTCCCTCTGGAAAGGTTTCAACATTTACTAACCAATAGCAGTTTAGGAGAGCACTTACGTCCTTAACTCTGAAAATCACAGATATTGTTGTTTTAAAATAGCTATTAATGTAATAAAGGATAAATAACTGTATTTTTAAAATTATAGATGAAGCAGAACCACTCCTTCACATTTTTTGGCAGCATTACCCAATTCTACTAGGTTAATGTTCAGGGTTTATAAATTTATTACAAAGCAACCCCTTTGAATTTAATAAAGGCAACAGACAAACATGTACAGAAGACTTCCACCTAAGTGGTGCCTGGATAAGAATGGAATGGTGAATTGGTGGTGTATCTCCTGTTTACGTACATTTGCAAATTTTAACAACAAGTAAACTATTAATTTTTTTCAATAAAAATTAACTTTCTGGAAACTACTCGTATGAAAATGGGTCAAACATGTCTTCATGTGTATTGAAAAACTTGCAAAACAAGTAAGGCTATCATCCTGGGTTGGATATATGTCTAGGATTATGCCACATTCATAACATAAAACATGACCACATATGACCATAATTCTAGTTACAATGGCCTGAGAAGCACTTCAAGAACCTCCTACAAGGAACTCCTACAAGGAATTTTGTTGTCGTTTGAAAAACTTAATCCCAGGTGCTGAAGTGTGGCTCAAATGGTAGAGCAAGCGAGAGGCCAAGTTCAAACCCCAACACATACAACAACAAAATCCCACTTAATCCCATGTCCCTTATTAGGAAGCTCAAAATTAACCATTAATAAAGCAATGTATGGGGAATGAACTAATGAATGGGGACCAGGAAGGAATAGAAGTGAAGAACCCAAGCCAGCTGTATTGTTAACCACTCCCAGACAACTCAGACTGCTACTGTGTTCCTGAGGTGGATCCACTTTTTAATATCACACATGGGAAAAGTCAATGTTACAGTATCCATTCAATGATTATTAAAGGGACCCCATGAGGGTGTCAAAGCAGAGTCTAGGAGACAGTGTCATAGAGCTGGTGCCCTCTATTCCTGACCATGTCAAAACATGGCTCCTGCCCTGCTTTTGATTCCAGCTCAGCATTTTTCAAGATAGAATCTCTGTTCAAGCACTAGACAGACTAGTATGAATGCCCTAGAGCGTCACTGAAGTGTCAAAGGTGGCAGGAATACCCCAGAGCGATGTCAGTATGTCAAAGGCAGCTCAGGTGCCATGGAGCTCTTGGATATGTCAAAATGGGCATGGATAGGCCTCCACCAGTCTTTTCAGAAAAGGTTTACAAATATAGGACTCAATGGACTCCAAAGACAAACCAAAATAGATTTGCAAACCCAAATCCACTTACATTTTTGCTTCTTCTCTTGTTGCATAGGTGACGTTGACGACAGCAGTTTCTGTGTCTGTGTTGACTAGGGAAGAACAAAAACTACATTATCATTAACAACATCTATCACCATCTAGCTCAAGGTAAACAAATTAAATTTAGAGAAAAATGCACAAAATATAACATCAACCCAACTCTGTGGTTATTTGCATTTAATATGCATTCACAGCAATTAGTAAATCAGTTGTATATTACACAGTTGCATATCCACTGCATATACCACAGAGCTATATCTTTACTTATTTTATAAACACTTCTGCAGAAGTATATGTACATGTAAACTTTTGTTGTATTTTTTGTTTTAATGTCTATATAGAATTGTAGTGAGCAAACATGCCACAATTTGCCTAAAGCGTTACCCAGCATTACCCAGTTGGCAAATGTGTTATTCCCAATATTTGCTATTCTAAATAGTATTTGCTAAAATTCACCTTTGTTGCAAACATCATTTGATTTGTGTATTCTTCTGAATTATTTATTTAGATTAAAACCACAGAAGAAAAAATTAGGTAAAAGAACATGATGTTTTTCAACACTGTCTTCCAAGTTTGGATCAATTAACTGTGCCACTATTAAGATATGAATTTTAATTGTTATAACTTGCATTTATTTAAAAATAACTGGATATACATATACAAAGTAAGAAGACTTTTTATGAGAATTTTTCTGTGGCTCATCCTGTAATCCCAGCTACTGAGAAGGCAGAAGTGAGGAGGATTGGGTGTTTAGGCCAGCACGGATAAAAAGTTACTGAGATCCCACCTCAGCCAATAAGCTGGGAGGGGTGGCATGAGCCTGTCATCCCATCTACGTGGGAGATATAACAGGAGGATCAAGATCCAGGCTGGCCTGGGAAAAAACACAAGACCCTATTTGAAAATAACTAAAGCAAAAAAAAAGGAAATTCAAAAGGACAGATAAAATTTGCTCTATTTAAGCCAGAAAACTTAAATTAAAAATATTCATTTTATCAAAACAAATAGACACAACTAAATCAAATCCTCTAAAACAAACTGTTAGGAGGCTAATTCAAGAAAATCATAATAAGGGTGCTTTTCAAAGTAATAACAAAACCCTGTAATAAAGGAATTCTTAAGTTTGGATCCATGCTTGAGTTTCAGGAATTCTGTAACTCTCACCACTTGTGCAATTCAAATTTGTGGAAATGTGAATTTTTCTGGTTTATAATTTCCGTAAGATTCTTCAAGAGATCCGGAACTCCAAAAAAGTAAAAGACATTTAGGATAAAAACTTCAAAGTACCAATACTTTGTGTCCAATAACTTCAAAGTACCTTCAGCATTTATGGGGTAGGTGGTAAGTATACAATCATTAGAGGGAACTCCCATGGTGGTCTAACATGTCATTAATGATGATCCCACCCCTGGCTTTTGCCAGGGAGCATTCCTAATACTCTCTAATTCACACTTACCCAGAAAAAAAAAAAAGGGGCAAAAAAAAAAAAAAAGGTGTGTGGCCCATAACCATCCTCTCTTAGTGCAGAAACACAGAATGTTACAGAGGTTTCATATCTTCTAATTTCTATGGCTACAGATAAGGCTGCAGGCTCAGAAGCCCAAAAAGGGCTGGGTCTGAGATTCCTGAATAAAGCTATCCTGAAATACTCTCAGATTCTCAGATTTTGTGGTCCCTCCTCAGTCATATTCTCTGTTCTTCAAAGCTGTTTGTGTGCACAGGAAATCAGGCAGTTCTTTGATTCTAGAATAAGTTTAGCTCCATTCATTGGACATGAAAGCTACAAGGTTTCCTAAAACTAAATTGTCCTGCTGGAGCAGGAGTCACCCATGAAACAGGATAAAGCAACAGTCCAGTGGTTCTACCGTTAGTAGTGAGGCTGCTGGAAACTGGGCAGTCTCCAGGGCATACGTGCCTGAGGAACTGTAGACTGCTGCAGAGTCCTGGGATATTTCTTTCTTGTGTAGCATTGTTCTGAATTTATATCATGATCTCAGCTAGTAACTTTTTTTTTTTTTTGGGGTACAGGTCTCACTATGTAGCCCAGGCTGGCTCCAAATTCACAATTCTTCTCCTTCAGCCTCTTGACTGTGGGATTACAGATGTATACCAACATGCCTGGCTCAGCTAACAATCTTTAAGGATCATCTATAAGGCTATCTTGGCTACTACATCCAGTCATTATTAGCATGTCTTCTTTTCCATATTGAGGAAAGTAAGAACTGAGAAATAGAATCCTTGTAAATCATGTCTTCTTCCTGAGCTCTTTCCCTTCACCTTTGGGCATGAGCAGGCAATAGTATGAAATTGAATAACAATATTTTTAACATTCATAGAGTGGAGAACATCTGAATAAATTATTGCTTTAAAACTATTACATGAGTTATATGGGCATACAGAACAGATGGCATACGAAAAAATGGGTCCTCCATAATTTTTCCTAAGTAAACTGTTGCAATCCTTTAAGATTATGTTCAATTTCCTTGTCTATAAATACCTTACACAAGCTCTGTTTGGATAACACCACTATTCAGTGTTATAGAAAGGGGAGAGATTATCCTCCCCACTTTACACATGTGGAAATTATGTAAGTCCAGGTCAGGTAACTTTTTCAAGGGCTTTACAGTCAGTGATTGAATTTGTATTCTGCTTTTTAGGCCAAGGCAAAAACAACAACAATAAAAACAAAACATTATGCTACTATGATTAATATTAGGCTCTTATAATCTATTTATAACTCTTCAAGAGCTATAAAAGACATTAGCTTCAGGTGCCTCTCTTTTTAAAATCAGAGCACTTCATGTTTTAGAAGATAAAAATGAGGATGATAAGAAAAGTTATTATCTTCTGGCCTGTGCAGTACTGTTTCTGTGACTCTTCTCAGGTTCTTAAACCTGAGAAAATCACTCGTGGTGTTTAATCCCTGAGCTCTTCTCCCAAAGAGTCTCGATAGGTCTATGGTGAGCCCTAGGAATCTTCATTTTCATAAGTCCTCCAAGAGATTCTTGGCAGAGGAGTCCAACTCCTTTGGAAACAGTCAGGCCAAGCATTAGGAATCTATTTTTCTTAGCCAGGAACAGGTGAGTAGCAACAGTGTAAATCCAATTTCTCCCAGTAAATTTAAGCTTACCCCAGTAAGTGTTTGCCAATGCTTGCACACATTGCAGGATATAAGAAAAAATAGCCTGAAAATCATATTTCTTGAAAAACTAAACTATATAGGTATATAAAGGTGTGTATAGGTATCTCTCACACAAAGATATACAAACATACACCATGGGAAGCATGTTTCAAAGGAATATCAATTCACTATTTCTCCATGGTTATTCATAGCCTGTAAGAAATAACAAGTAACATCCCTTTCCCAAACTCAAAAGGCTAATTTTCTCACTTATTACCTTGTTCCACATTCTCCACTGTCCCATACTGAGCCAAAAGTCCATCCAATACCTGCGAAAGGAAGCTTCAGTATCAGAATGGGAAGAAAAGATCAGACTCTCAAAAAAAAAAAAAAAAAGGTGCAGTGATTTCCCCCAGTGAATGAATTCAAGCAAAACAAGGACACAGACACAGGAATGATTTAACTAAATTGATATTTCAGATCTTCCACAAAAACAGAACTGAATAAATATAAATGTGCAGGACTTTCATTTGCTTTACTGGCTCCCAAGTAATCTATTCACTAAGGTGACACTACAGAATCTCAAGAGTTTTGGTAACTGTTAACAATCACATTCCTGGCGATGGTTGGAACTCACTGCTCTTGAACTGAAAAGTAGAATGAAGTACAAAGCTCACCTCTCCTTCTTGGGAGACTGAACAGTTCTTCCTTTAGCTTTCCTCAAGGGATCTCCTTATTTTACAAAGTAATGATATGTGTATGTTTGAGACTTTCCATAATAAAAAAGGGTTTTAAAAAAAAGTAACAAAAACATTAGATAAAACATTGCTTCTGTTAAGGCTATTTTGATTTCCTTTGGGTTAGGGAATAAAACATGGAGTAATCCATTCTTAAATAATAATAAGCCACTCCCCACATTCTATCTTGTTTTATATTAAGATAGCAATCTTAGAAGTTTTAGAGCTCTGAAAATACATCTTAACTGTTACTCATAGTAACTAACTCAAAACAAACAAAAAAACCTGTTCCAACTAACAAAGAACTTTCCATTTCTGTTGATTTCCCATTGATTTCTTTTTTCTGAATCAGGATCTGGAAAGATAAAATCTTTTACAGAATCATATGATAAAAGCCACAAACCAGGTACACATTTTGTTTCACAGTTTGTTTGTTGGTGCTTGGTGCCCTGGTACTAGAGAAAGCAGATTGCAAGAGATCAAAGTGCATTCAGCATAAAGAAAAAGGACAAATATAACCCCAAATTCATGATACATCACGTACACAGGGCACTGAAAAAAGGAAGAGGCAGGACCCAGAGTTTTCACAGAAAAGAGTGAGGGCCTCCAATTCCTAAATATGAACAGAATTAAACCAGGGAGAAAAATGTCTTGGTAACCTCTTAAAAAGTGATGTTGGCTTACCTCCCACTGCAGGTGAGGAGGGATGTTTCGAATCTGAATTTTCCTGCTCCTGTTAAGATAAAACCACACTCTATAACACTTTCTTCATGACACCAACTTCAACAACTAACAAAAATAGACTTAAGACCATAATTGAGTTGACTTTCTTATTGTGTTTACCAAGCCATCCATAAAAGATTCCTACTGTGAATCTTGAGCACCATATTTTAATTACTTTGGGGGAAATAACACTCCCCCAAATCCTAACAAGCTAAAGAAACAACACTACAAATACAGATTTTTCCTTTCAATTTCCTACCAAAATGGTTAGAATTTAAATCACCATATGAATTGTCCCTAGAATTATCCTCTCGAATGTATGGTCTGTAACTGACCCAAAGGGTGCCTAGTTTCCAACATGATAAGTGAAGTCACGCAAAATCAGATTTTTGTTTGCTCCTTATCTAACAATGAAAACTTCATTTAAAATTTTTCCTTTATTTAGCCGGGTTCCGATGGTTCATGCCATCCTAGCTACTTAGGAGGCTGAGATCAGGAAGATCAAGGTTTGAGGCCAGTCAGGGCAGATAGTTCTTAAGACCCCATCTCCAAAATAACCAGAGCAAACTGGACTACAGGTGTGGCTCCAGTGGTAGAGCCCCTGCTTTGCAAGTGCAAAGCCCTGGGTTCAAACCCCAGTCCCATTTTTAAAAAAGTATAATGATTCTTTTATTTCTGAATAAAAAAATTTTTGTTTTTAATAAAATCATATTTCAAAAATTAAAACACTATGAAAGGTAGATTCCCTACCTCCTACCAGAAATAAACACTTTTAGTCTTTGTGTGTCCTTCAGTTTTTTCTTTATACAAATACAAATATAAACTCTTTTCTTTTGGTGGTACTGGGGTTTCAACTCAGGCCTCATGCTTCCTAGGCAGGGAGTCACTCCATTGGACCTTTTTTGTGTGGGGTATTTTCAAGATAAGGTCTCTTGAACTATTTGCCTAGGCTGGTTTAGAACTGTGATTCTCCTGATTTCTGCCTCCCATGTAGCTAGGATTACAGGGGTGAGCCACTGGTGACCAGCATTATTTTCCTTTTTTTTAAAGAAACATTTGCATATTCTACACACACTCTGCATCTTTTTTTTTTTTTTTAATTTAACAGTAATATCCTGGAGATCTTTCTCTCTTGGAAGACAGAGAACTTCCTTATTCTATTTCATAGCACATGAATGACCTTGTCTATTTTACCAATCCCCTATGGATGGGCATTTAGACTTTTTTCCTGTCTTTTTATGCAGAGGTTTTCATTAAGACATCCTGTTGGTCCACTGACGTTGAACAATTTAGATTTTTCTTTTAATGTAAGGATTGAAATTAGGTATTAAAAAAGTTGGAGGTGGTGGCCCACACCTATAATCCCAGGAGGTAGAGATCTGGAAGACCATGGTTTGAGATCAATCCAGGCCAAAAGTTTGTCCAAACACCTAAGGCCAGGCAGGGTGGTACATGCAAGTATTAAGGAGGACTATAGTCTGAGGCTGGCCTGCAAGACTCTATCTGAAAAATGCTTAAAGCAAAAAGGGCTGGAGGAATGACTCAGGTGTACAGTACTTGCCTAGCAAGTATGAGGCCCTGAGTTCGAACTCTAGTACTTTAGAAAAAGAATAGAAATATGAACGGTTTTCTGTATTTTGAGAATGCGCTAAATCCTGGGAAAAAAAGACATCATCAGCATTTAGAGAAGGCTAAAAGTAGGAGTATGGCTGAGATTTTTTTTATACACTGGCACCCCCCTCCAACCTCCCCTGGTGGATTTGTGATTCAGGAACTCAAAACTTCCTGCTTTCATACTGGTGTGAACTGAGTGTTTTGGATGGGAAAGGGCAAGAAGCCCAGCCTCCACGTCACCAGGACAAGGGGAGTGCAGCCTGGCTAGAGAACCAGCTCTTTGATTCTATAGTCTGGTTAATTGGTGATTATGGTATACATGAGGGCACCATAAAATTTTACAATTTTGTAGTTGTTTCAAACTACAAAACAAATTATACTTAACCTCAACTCATCTAACTAATTTAGTTGAGGGTTTCCAAGGCCTTTCAATATACAAATGCTTTAGAGCACTGTGAATGCTATTATCTTTATACTGTGGATGCACAGAGCTAACAGAAGATTCCAATTAAGTTAATTTCAGATAAAAGCGGTATCTTTTATTATGAACTTCCAGGGCCTGGCAGAAATTATTTTCCCGTCATAGAATTGTTGCTTAAAAAAAAAAAAAAAGTAAAACACCTGCTTGCATGTGAGGAGGTGTTTTAACCATAGCCTCCATTTCCAGGCTATGGTTAATTAAACACAGATTTTATCAGCTGCCTTTGAAACTTTAACCCAAGGCTTGATCACAACTGGAGCTTGCAGAGAGAACAAATTAACAGTAATTGTTGGAACCTCACTCATAGTATCCCATGTTTCATTTGAAAACTAGGCCAGCTAAAGATCTGAGGATCCCCAGGGAAACTGTGAGCAAGCAGGGCAACAGAGGAAGCAAGGAGGGCCCTATGAAAGTCCTTTGGGGTTCTGTGAAGGATTCTACCCAACTTGGTCCCATCTGTTTCCACAGTAACGCTGAGTTCCACCAGATGACCCAGGTTCCTCACCTTGGAAGGAAATTAGAGCACTTACAATGTGGGTTGTCAGCACAGAACAATCAGGTGTGCTACTGACTCCAAGGACTGTGGTTGAGCCAGGATTGAAACCACCAGAGATCTCAGCCTTACCCTCTAGTTCTATAGTCAGACTCTACTGCATCCCACACACTCAGTATGCTTGAGGCATTTTATCTGTTTCCAATTCTTCATTAGTTTTCAAAGTTCCCTTAAAACTTCTGGACATTCTGTACAAGGGACATTCTGTGCTAAACTGAACTAGAACCTAGGGCCCTAAGGCAAACAAATAAATCCCTGGTGATAGTCAAGTCCAATTGTCTATCCAGTAAAGTTTCTCTCTTCCTCTATCAAACACACATTCACTCACTGTAAGTAGTAGCAGTGTTATGGGCCAAATCATAAAACGATTAAGTCAGATATCTTGGTGACCACTTGCAAAGAATTTTGAGCCAGGAGAACTACAGTTATGAATCCAGTAACTTCCCTTGATCTATAAACTCGTGTCCATAAAACACCATTAACTCCAAGCAACTCATGCTTCCTTTCCTGAGCTTTCAGGGATAGGAACTCATAAAAGTTCACAGCTTAAATGAAACAGGTATCTATCAGTAAGTATCTTAGTCTATTTGGGCTTCTATAACAAAATACTGCAGACTGAGTAACTTATAAACAACAGAAATTTATTTCTAACAGATATGGAAGCTGGGAAGTCTTAAGAGAAAGTGCCAGCATCCAGCAAGGATCTTCTTGTTGTATCATCCCAGAGCGGAGGGCAAGAGTCTGAGTGAGAGAGACAGACAGAGTAGGGTGAGGAGTGGGAGTTACCTCTTAACATCTTACCTTAGGGATTAGGATTTCAGCATATGAATTTAGATTAGGGACACACAAACTTTCAGGCCAGAGCAATAAGCAATAGTCTGAGACCTTGTAATTCATTCACCTCCTCATTCCCTCTCACAGAGCCCACTAGCTCAAAAAAAAAAAATACCTTGACTCTCGGAGAAGTTGCTAACAAAATTCCAGGTTTCCCTTTTGAAGGGGACATCAGGGATTCTTAACAGTTTGCTGTTGAAAGAAGTGGAGAGGGAGAGGGGAAAAGTCAATGGGATGATGAAATGAGATGATTAGATGTTAGACAGCAGGTTGGTCGGGGACTCCCGGGCAGAACTGTGAAGGAATTCCTTTACTGGGTTGGGGAACAATAAGTACGATTTTCACTAAATGACCATTAAAAACTTCATTCCAACTCCAGGATTTGACTTATCTTTTGGAAAGGGGTGTTAAAGCCATTTTCCATTAAAAGGAATCAGAATGAATGCTTATAGACTAAAACTTTTTACACTCTCCTGTGAAACAGATCACCAAATTTCTAGAGATTTAACTTTTTACCTAGACCTCTAAAAGGAAATTCATCTCTCACATTTTCTTTTCTTTTTTTTTTTTTGATTCATGTTTTTGAAGGGACTTCTATTATTAAAATAATGATAAATAGCCCAACTATGTGAAAGAGTAAAAAATCTAAATAATTATTCAGGGAAAGATAAATATTTTTCTTTGTCAAATATTTTTTTTAGGAAATTGGAGAACATGCCCTATACAGGAAAACGATGACACTCGTAAAGGTTTATGTACAACTCCCTGCAGATAATGTCTCTCCTGTTGACAATCCTCTTCCTTCTCAACTCATTTTTTTACACTATGAAGAAACATGGGTTTAGCTTGAGTCTCCCCAGAACACCTTTATGGACTTTCACTTCTCTATCTTTCACATTATTCTGTTGATGAAATCTAGTAAAGTTTCACAGGTACATCTAAAACATTCTTCACGTTGCTTTTAGCAGAAAGATTTCCCCAAATCACCATTCTTCTTGCACTAATGGATCTATATACCTCACTTAAGCCTTACCATTCCCTATGATAGCTGTACCCATTTTTCAGATAAATAAGCCAAGGAGTTAGTAAGTCCCTTACCTGAGTTTCATACCTAAGGAGTGATTTTTTTTCATTATTATTATTATTTTTTTTGGTGGTACTGGGGTTTAACTCAGGGCATTGTGCCTCCTAGGCAGGTGCTCTATGACTTAAGCCACTCTGCCAGCCCTTTTTTGCTATAGTTATTATTTTTTTTAATAGGGTCTCACATTTTTGCCTGGGGCTAGCCTTGGACTATGATCCTCCTACCTACAGTCCTCATATCTGGGATTAGAGGCACACATCACCACACCTGGCTTATTTGTTGAGATGGGGGGACTCACTAACTTTTTACCCAGGCTGGCCTTGAACCACAATCCTCCTAATCTCTGCCTCCCACATGGCTGGGATGACAGGCATGAGCCACCATGCCCAGCCAGGACTGATTATTCTAGGCTTGTGTCTTATCTGTTTAATTCTTTGCTCTTAA